CTACAAACCATAGCACTGAAATACAGTGACTACAAACCATAACACTGAAATACAGTGACTACAAACTATGGCACTGAAACAACATTGGTCCTACATTATAAGAATGCAATTTCAAGGACACAAACTATCTTGGCAGGAGTTTCAATCTTCTGCAATATTTTTTGACCATTAATACAACTGCAGTTTGTATCAACACATGATATACTGGTGTTTGGTAAATATTGCTGTTATTGTACAAAGAGTGATACATATATAACCAACTGATGATAGAGCTGACGAAAAGGAACGCTGTGTTTTACATCTACAAAGTCTGTAACAACACACTCATCCATCCGTCTAATGTAAAAAGCAGGAGTTTCTGAAAAAGCACAACGTGACTAATTGTAACACCATCAAAAAACATGTTTGTTCATCCACAAAGTGATTTGGCTCATTTGCAGGCCTGCATTTTCTCACACAGCTCTACAACCTAACACTTGGTACCGGAAAACAATGAAGAGTTCAAATCTATCTCTACTCAGAACTATAAATTAAGCAAGCTTGAGTTACAACAATAGCTGCAGTCCTATATTGTTATTTATTACGCTAAAGGGCTGGAAATCAAAATAACAAGCAATCTATGGTAAACACATTGAACTCTGTGAAGAAACAAAAGCATCAAAGAGGTAGAGATCATCATAACTATGGTTACTTTACAAGTGATATGGTACCTCAATCGATAGACCAATCAAATTTCTACAATGAATTATGTTAAATATGTCAAAGGTCACATAAATACAATGTCAAATGCTTCTGTAAAAGTCTCTGTTTTAGGGGGGAGTGGAGGCGGGGATGGTGGGGAGGAGGGGAGAGGGGATGGTGGGGAAAGAATTGGGCCCCTTGTGTCAACAACAGTGGACAAGGGATCAAATGCAAAAAAAGGAGTAGTGACCTTGACCTTTTGAAAAGTAATACAGGGAATCAAAATATTCCTCTCAGATTAAACTTCCTTAATGAGTGGTTGTCATGGACTAAATACTGGTGTCAAGCATTTCATATTCCTAATTATCTATAGTTTTGACTTTTGAATTTTTATTCTTAAAGGTGTTTTTTTTTTTAATCCGGTCTTGAACCGACTTTTCTTTCCAGTTAAGAATTTTGATTCCAAAATGTGTTAGCTACATATCATGACATCACATGCCATCTTGAAACTGTGGGTATGTTGAATACAGCACAGGCTCTTATTCTGATTAGTACCACATGTAAAACTGTATACAACTCAATGGTACAAGATCTGTCTCAATATCACATTCAGAAGAAGTAGCAATTACAAGATTTTCAAGATGCTCAACATTAGCCAGCCATCTTGAATTTACACACAGTTCCAAATTTTATCTAGGGCTGACTGTATGGTGATCATCGAAAACTCAATACTGGCAGTCCTGTCACAATACATCTATGTAACAGCAGTCACAAAATGTTTAAATAGTAGGTTTGTTAAATCCACAATGGTCAAAATTTTATTCAGGATCATCCATTTAACTTATTGACATTAGCAAAAGCCCTGTCTGAGTACAAGATTTCCTTCAGAAGTAGCACATTGACCAATTTATTCTGGTTGAAGGGAGATAACTCCTATACTGCAATTACCACATATCCAGAACCAATATATACACTGAAAGGATAAAGAAATGCAGGGTAATATTTATTCCGATATTTTGAAAAGGCGTTCTCCAAATAAAGTGAAACTTTGTGGATTGAGTAATTAGGTCATATTACACCTTGTCATGTATCGAAAATTTAGTCACGGTACAGTGCGCAGCTCTGGTAAATGGAGGAAGGAAAAAACAAGAATCTTGTGCATCGTGTTGTTCTGGTCTCATGCAGCGTTGGTCAAGTCACTCTTCATTAGTCTTTATACAGACCAACTGCTTCCCTAAAATTAATTGAGAATTTGATTTGTTTTAAGAATGGCATGACTCACAGAAGTTCAGAGAGGTCAGGCCATTCAGATGCTGATGCAAGGACAGCTGCAAAATCAGGTTGCTAGGCACTTTGGTGTTAATGTTTCCACCATAGAACGTCTTGTAAGACGTCTACGGGAAACTGGGCGATTGGCCGATCGACCTAGGTCAGGACGTCCGCACGTAACGTCACGACGTCAGGATCGCTATATCATTGTCTCTCATGTGCGTAATCGGCACCTTACTGCCGTTGAGAGTGCACTTAATGTTCGTGGAAATCATGGGCCTGGGTCGCTGCACATGCTCCACGACGGTTTCCACTGAGGCAGTGGAGACAAGTTTTCTTCACGGACAAGTCTTGATTCTGTCTTTTTCGATCTGACGGCTGTCAACGTGTCTACTGACGTTGTGACGAACGTTTTACGGAAGCTTGCGTTGTAGAGAGGGAGAGGTTTGGGGGCGGTTCAGTAATGGTGTGGGGAGGAATCTCACACGGGTTAAAATCACAATTGGTTGTTATTGATGGCAATTTAACAGCAGCTAAGTATAGAGATGAGATCCTCCGACCCCATGTTATCCCTTTCTTACAGCAGCATAATCTAACCCTCCAGCAAGATAATGCTAAGCCCCACGTAGCAAGGATTTGCCAAGTCTTTCTGGCCAACAACAACATTCAACCACTAGATTGGCTGCCATATAGCCCTGATTTGTCCCCGATCGAGCATCTTTGGGACCAGTTGGATAGACAGGTTCGAAAGCGCCAGCCACCGCCTGCTACTCGAGAGCAGTTGACCAGAGCTCTGATTGAAGAGTGGGACAACATTCCCATAAGACGGATTAACGCTCTCATGAACTCTATGACCAGAAGAATAAGGGCCGTGACCACAGCAAATGGCGGACACACAAGATATTGATGACTCAATTTCAAAATCCTATGGGTCCATTCAATTTAATCGTTAGTACCTCTAAACCAATTGTCAGATGTAAAATACAGACTTTGGAAATTTTTAAGCTTTAATTTATCTGTAAGTATACAAAATTTCATTTTAAATGAAGTCCGATATCATACTTAATTTCTGGTTTAAAGTTCACCCTGTGTTTCTTTATCCTTTTAGTATAGTTTAAAAGTGTAGCTAGGGCTTTGATCAAGAACAAATATAAAGTTTTAAAGCATAGCTAGTACTGTAGGTCTGGAGCCAACATATAGTTTTAATGCCTAGTCATGGCTGTAAATCCAAAACTATAGTTTTAAAGCCTCGATTGCTAACAATGTAATATATGTGTTGCTCATTTGCCATTTGACTGAAAATGTTTAACAAAAGAGACTAGATTACATTATGTGTAAGTTCGATGTTTCAGGTGTGACATTATTGACTCATTATTTCTCATATGGAGGTCAGTGATAAATGAAACGAAAACTTTGCATACAATATACAACAGATCTTTGATTGCCTTGGAGATTCCTCAGGACCTATCAAGGTGCTAAGATTGCCAACAAATGAAAGTCGTTACTAAAGGAAATGTAATGTATATATCAAAGTATTCCAGTTACAGGTGCTACAAACAGATCTGACTGAAGTAAAACGATGAAAATTTATAACTAGTATCATCCTCACAAAAGTAATTGTGTACACTCATCACAGTGTGAAGATCGAAGTATTCTGCAAAATCTTTTAGTGTAACATGTGTACATCATCATTGTTGTTTTCAAAAATTACATCATTATACATAGACATTGAGTTTCCTTGTCAGATCAGCATAAACCATTGCATTATCAGAATATTTGTCATGTATTTTCAATCCTAAGTGCACATATGACATAGTATCATTGTAGCAAGTTCCAATAAATCAAATACATCATGACAGGGAGTTGTCGTAACAAGGTTTTAGACCAGAGATTTTAACTGTCAGAGGTCATAACTTCACCAATAACCGATAAATCATACCCACCTTCCTTCATTTACATAAACATATGATGCTATTTGTAATCTTGAGATACAACAAGGAGCTCCAAATCGTGGAATTATCCCCCTGCACCCAGCTGTTGTGAAAAACCCAAACATGATATATATCTGCTATAACAGTTTTTGATATCACTCAATTACCTACTATCACCTGAAGATCAGTGAAAGTGCTACTGCAAAATGTAACGTCTTCTTTTGTCATTATCAATTAAATTTCCTTGCATCTCCTGAACTTAACATCTGATATATAATATAGATATATACATTGTTTATCAACCTTATTGTAAGAGTTTACTTCTTGATGTAGATCCTGAGTGTTTGACTGTTTGAATACAGCTTGGTATTGTCCATGAACAAATTTATACAACACTCTATAAGCTCTGGAGTAATACAAGAAGTCACACTAATTTTTAAAGATTTTGACTATGTTTCCATGTTAACAAAAAAAACATAGAAAATTGAAATGTTGTCAATAGCATATGCCACAACTAGGGCACTAATCTAATATATGCAGAAAGTTTTGTGTAGTAAAATGGAATAGTTTTCAAAGTTGAAACCCAAAAAGGAAAGTTAATATTAATTTTGTGGTTTTTTTATCATGTTTCCACAGTAACAGAAAAAATGTATAAATGAGATGTCTTCCATAGCAAAAGGCACAACTAGAGCCTTCACTATACAGCAAGTTTTGTTAAGTTGAGTTGAACTGTTTTGAAGTTATAGCCCGGAAAAGCCCTCTAACGGATGGATGCACGCAAGGATGGACAAATTAAAATCCCCCCAAATGTGTTTCTCAGAGGATAAAAATCCTTATATTTAGTGCAGTATTGTTCCATTAAACGGAATATAATCTCTGTTTTTTGAGAATAAATTCTTAGTGTCACACGCCATCTACAGAATGAATAGTCGATTGTGCAATTTTTTTCCTTCAGGCAAACCAAAATTTAATGTACCCTCACTTTTTAATGTTGATGTCCGAAACAAAAAGGAAGAATTACACTTTTCATAGAGAAAGACAAACAGTGTGATTCCTGTATACTTATCATTACTAACTTCTGACTTCAATGTAAAATTAAACAAGCTCAATGGTACTTACATGGATACACATGACAGGCAGGTCTATATAGTTGAGAAGTTCGTGATGAAATTTGACGGACATACAGGAGCTCAAAAACACCATGATTTTCTTCCCTCTGTTCTTCTTCAGGAAAGTAAACAGAAGTAAAAACCTTTTGTCCGACGGACACACCACATATCCCTGGAAAAGTAAACAGTAGTAAAAACCTCTTGTCTGACGGACACACCACATATCCCTGGAAAAGTAAACAGTAGTAAAAACCTTTTGTCTGACGGACACACCACATATCCCTGGAAAAGTAAACAGTAGTAAAAACCTTTTGTCTGACGGACACACCACATATCCCTGGAAAAGTAAACAGTAGTAAAAACCTTTTGTCTGATGGACACACCACATATCCCTGGAAAAGTAAACAGAAGTAAAAACCTTTTGTCTGACAGACACACCACATATCCCTGGAAAAGTAAACAGTAGTAAAAACCTTTTGTCTGATGGACACACCACATATCCCTGGAAAAGTAAACAGAAGTAAAAACCTTTTGTCTGACGGACACACCACATATCCCTGGAAAAGTAAACAGTAGTAAAAACCTTTTGTCTGACAGACAACCCACATATCCCTGGAAAAGTAAACAGTAGTAAAAACCTTTTGTCTGATGGACACACCACATATACCTGGAAAAGTAAACAGAAGTAAAAACCTTTTGTCTGACGGACACACCACATATCCCTGGAAAAGTAAACAGTAGTAAAAACCTTTTGTCTGACGGACACACCACATATCCCTGGAAAAGTAAACAGAAGTAAAAACCTTTTGTCTGACAGACACACCACATATCCCTGGAAAAGTAAACAGTAGTAAAAACCTTTTGTCTGACGGACACACCACATATCCCTGGAAAAGTAAACAGTAGTAAAAACCTTTTGTCTGACGGACACACCACATATCCCTGGAAAAGTAAACAGTAGTAAAAACCTCTTGTCTGACGGACACACCACATATCCCTGGAAAAGTAAACAGAAGTAAAAACCTTTTGTCTGACATCTGACAGACAACCCACATATCCCTGGAAAAGCATTATACAAGCACTAGACCTAACAAATAATGCACAGATGTAGACTCTATCAATGAAAAAATACTTTCAGCGCTTATTTTTCCAAAAAATAAATCTGGCAAAGTGCCTAATCACAGTCCTATAGTAAACAAACTCAAACTAAATGTTTTCATGTTTTGTGTAAACACGCTACTTTTTTAACATACTTGTAAGTGACTGCTACAGAATGGTTACACTAACTAAGAAGTCAACCTTTAATTGGATAATTAAACTGGTAATTAATCACCAGAGATTAAGTGTTGTGTGTACAATGGACAGATACACTGTGATTAGCCATGTCTTATGCAAAGGTGACTTTCTACTTTTGTGGATGTATTAACCAATTTCATCAGAAGACATGCCAATGTTTTGACAAAAATTAATTCAAGACAACACATGACTTTTTTCCTGCTTTACAATTGAAGGGACTAAAATAACATAGATATAGAAGGAAAAAAATCAAGACGTGAATGACTACAATCAACATATACAACAATAACATTGATAACAAGGTTAACTTTGACATTACCAGGAATCATTATAATGTTGAACTTTGACATCACCAGAAATCTCTACAACGTTAAACTTTGACATCACCAGGAATCACTACAATGTTGAACTTTGACATCACCAGAAATCACTACAATGTTAAACTTTGACATCACCAGGAATCACTACAATGTTAAACTTTGACATCACCAGGAATCACTACAATGTGAACTTTGACATCACCAGAAATCTCTACAATGTGAACTTTGACATCACCAGGAATCACTACAATGTTAAACTTTGACATCACCAGAAATCACTACAATGTGAACTTTGACATCACCAGAAATCACTACAATGTTAAACTTTGACATCACCAGGAATCACTACAATGTTAAACTTTGACATCACCAGAAATCACTACAATGTTGAACTTTGACATCACCAGAAATCACTACAATGTTGAACTTTGACATCACCAGGAATCACTACAACGTTAAACTTTGACATCACCAGGAATCACTACAACGTTAAAACTTTGACATCACCAGGAATCACTACAACGTTAAAACTTTGACATCAGAAATCTCTACAATGTAAACTTTGACATCACCAGAAGCCACTACAAGGTAAACATTGACATCCACTCAGTTTCACAAATTGAGTTATATTTACCATTATACACCAGAAGTCCGTAAAAGTCATACATATCTTAAAACAATGTTGTTTTTTCATGAATAAGTCCTAAGAATTTCTTTTGCGATCATTTTTGTTTTGTTATATTCAAAATAAATCAAAAGTATATGATGATGCTTGCTTCTATCAAAAATATTTTGTCAGGTCCACGGTTTTCTCTGTAACTTTTTGTGTCAAAAATTGGTCATTGACAACATATACACAATATGCTAGAAAATTATTTCCCAGCTTGTATATTAAAACAATCACAATTATTGTGGATTATCAAAGGGAGATGACCATGGTGACCCACCTGCTCAAGGCCTTCCACTGTAGCTTTCTCTTTACCATCATCCACACCAACATACAATGGCTCCTTTTTAAGAGAGACTTTTGCTAGGTCCTCAATTTTCCGTGTTTGTGTCGCTGAAAACAGCATGGTCTGCCTTTTTTCTGTAAATTGCAAAAATGAATGAGGATCAATATCCATTACATCTCTGTTAGGATTTCAAAACTGAACAATCTACAAACTCTTTGTTGTGTCATCTATTATATGTTTATTCATCCAGTTTGTTAGAAAAAATTTGCTGTCCCCTAAATCAACTTCAGATCCCAGACGCAGAGGGATCCTGTCAGATTCTGAAGAGTTCATGCTCGGGAAATGAAACACTCAAGTGGAAACCAGTAGCATGTATTAATTTTATGAATGAAGAACTTTATAGGAAGCCATGCAAGCTTTTAAACGACTGTGATCAACCTTAACATTTCTATCATTTCTAACAAAAACATGGGACACTCTCATGAATCTGAAAGTAATTCAACTATTTTTTCATACAGATGTGATCATGTCCATATGAAGGTTTACCAAAACATTTTCTGTGATTGAACATGATAGTTTATTTTGATAAAAAGTCAACCAATTATAAAGAAAATACAGGATTGTATTTATCTATGTGAGTGAATCAACAACGTGTACTACATAAAACAGGAAAGTATTGTCCTTACTTGGTAAAAGTTTGATGATCTGCTTCATCTCTTCTTCAAAACCGATGTCTAAAATTCTGTCAGCTTCATCAATTATAAGACACTGAAGGTTCTTGAACATGAAGTGAGGAGTATTCTGTAAATGACAAAATATTCGAGTGATTTCCAAGTTTTCGGCTAAACACTGCACATTTCGAATGTGACAGCCACAAATGAAATTATATTTTTTTTATTAAAACAGGATGACAACTGTATGTATCACATCAAAGTCAGGATCCTCAGAAATGTATTGAGGTCAGTTAAAACAAAGTCTAATGTTGTGAAAATCTGGAATAAATTAAATGTTTGTCAAGTAAATTAAGATGGTCAAGTATCAGAGAGGAATATCTGTTATCTTAATTTGTCCAAGATGATAATCAGTAAGGGGTTAATCTGAGGCTGCCAGACGTCTGTTATAACTCAGTCAGCTTTCATCAGTAGGTCAAACAATGCTCAATCAGAAACTTCTCACTCTGCCCTCTCACCTGTAAGTGGTCAAGGAGCCGTCCAGGAGTAGCCACAATCAGGTTCACACCCTTTGAGAGTTTTTTGGCTTCTTCAGCCCTGTTAGTCCCTCCCATGATGAGACCATATGTATGAAAGTGGTGTTTCAGTAGTTCCTTCACCACACCAAAACTCTGCATGCACAGCTCTCGTGTTGGGGAGATAACTATACACCCTGTGCCTGAAACAAACAAAACTCCAAAGTAGGGGGGAGGGAGATAATTATACTCCTCGGTTAGGGGAGATAACTATACTCCTGGGAAGGAAAGACAACTATACACATTGTGCCTGTAACAAACAAAACTCCAAAGTAGGGGGAGATAATTATACTCCTCAGGCAGGGGAGATAACTATACACCCTGTGTCTGTAACAAACAAAACTCCAAAGTAGGGGGAGATAATTATACTCCTCGGGTATGGGAGATAACTATACACCCTGTGTCTGTAACAAACAAAACTCCAAAGTAGGGGGAGATAATTATACTCCTCGGGTATGGGAGATAACTATACACCCTGTGTCTGTAACAAACAAAACTCCAAAGTAGGGGAGATAATTATACTCCTAGTGTTGAGGAGATAACTATACATCGTATAATTAAAACACATGAAACTCTTCAGAGGGAGAGAAAATCATACATTCTTTACCTATAACATACAAAACTTAAACAACGACTACTGATGTTTACAATAAAACAAGAAAGAAAAACTTAACCATGTAAGATTGCTGTTTAACTGCTAATACGTTCTATTCTGCGGGACCAAAAGCATTTTTTATCAATTTTTTATTACAAGGGTCCATAACATATATATATTAATTTTTGAAATGAACCTAAGAAATATCCCACTATCAATATAGAATTAAGAATATACAGATTTGACAATTAGTGTTGATCAGTAAATCATCTGCTTGACCCCAGGTCTCCAAAATACATCACTTCTACCTATGGTTCAGTGTCCTGCCTATTACTTTAATCTAATTTACAATGTGTACTTACATGTATACCCTTAAACAAAACCTGGAGTGGAAAAGACTTTTACTGTAATAGCCTTTATCTTTTCATATCAAGGGAAAGTACATACCATTTCTGGGTAGGAAGCGAAGTTTGTTGAGTAGCTCCACAGCTGGGATTAGAAATGCTAATGTTTTACCACTGCCAGTCTTAGCTGCTCCCATCAGATCTCTAAAATAATAAAAAGTCTCACCTTACAAAACAGATTGCAAAACTTAAGACAACAAATGTAGAGATGTATACAAAGTCAGAAACCCACAAGACTCTGCTCTGTCGTTTGAGTTTTAGACTCAAAGCACAGAGCAGAGTCCCATGGGTTTATAATGATGGGAAGTGTGTTTCTAATGATGCAGATTCAAAAAGCTTATGGATACAATGTGTTTAAACAACTTTAACAATCTTTTGCATTGGGCTGAATAATTTTGCATATAATACACAATGATGAACTAAATATGTGTATTTTATACAGCTGACGAAACCTTGAGAATATACTTGATTACTAAAATGTAAAAAATTCTTATACAGTTTATTGCTGTCACACTTGCCCTCTTGGAAGCAGGGTGTAAGTTAGATCTCTTGTTCCTCAAGGATGGATGTGGACTTTAGCGTTCACCGGAGCATGAATAGCATGACGTCAGTGCTATGCTAACTCTATTTTGCTTTACTCATTGCCATGCTGCCCTGTACACTATGCTATTCCTACATCTGTGCCCTACATCACTTTAAGCTATACAACTTATTCTCCTTTACATGGAACTCTCAACAAAAGAGCACATATGGGTGCCTGACTACCATTTCCAAAATTGATTAAATCATAATTCATTAATTGAAAGGAAATACGGGATATCATGTCATGTAACGCACACATTGAAAGGAAATACGGGTAGCCAAAATCATGTCATGTAACGCACACATTGAAAGGAAATACGGGTAGCCAAAATCATGTCATGTAACGCACACATTGAAAGGAAATACGGGTAGCCAAAATCATGTCATGTAACGCACACATTGAAAGGAAATACGGGTAGCCAAAATCATGTCATGTAACGCACACATTGAAAGGAAATACGGGTAGCCAAAATCATGTCATGTAACGCACACATTGAAAGGAAATACGGGTAGCCAAAATCATGTCATGTAATGCACACGTTGAAAGAGAAAAACATCTCAAAAAGAATCCACACCTTGACAACAAATACTAGATTTCTTACAAAAGTAGGTTTGTATGATGGGACTTTGTTTCTTATACATTCTAAATCTAGAAATGATGATTTCATGGAAGGTAAAGACAAAATTTCAAGCATCATTCAGATCGAGAGATCATGAAACTTGCATTCTCTAATACACATTTGGGTATGATGTAGGTTCAGAAAGATCTCCACTGCATGTATGGCATCATCATCTGAATGAAAGTGGGCACCAGAGATGGTCTTTTTCAATTTTGGAAATAGATGACAGTCTGATGGAGTGATATCAGATTAAAAAGGCAGATGTTCAATCAGTTCAAAGCCAAAATTGTTAATGGCAGTCATGGCAATGGCTGACTTGTGAATAAGGGCATTGTCCTGGTGGAACAATACATCTTTACTTAGTTTTCCATGGTGCTTGAGTTTAATATTTTCTCTCAACTACCTAAGAAGTGATGCATAATATGTGCCATTGATTGTTTGTCCCTTTTGGAGATTTTTATCCATCTGCATCCCAGAAAACCGTGGCTATAATTTTTCCAGCTGATGGAACAGTCTTTGCCTTCATTGGCGAGGGTAAACCAGGATGTATCCATTATTTTGAGTGTTTTTGACCTCTCAGGTGACATGATGGACCCATGTATCAATAATAGTCACAAACCTCTACAGATTATTAGCAGGATCTACCTCTTAAAGGTTCAGATTAGCAGGCAACAAAGTCTGCCTAGTGTGCTTCTGATCAACTGTCAGAAGTCTTGGTACCCAAATGGATGAGAGCTTTCTCATTGCAAGATCTTCTGTAAGAACGGAATGTACTCTTTCCTGTGTAATCCCAACTGTACTGACTGTATATCTATGTAATTTCATTGTCAGCCATAACAATGTCAGACTTTGTTAACCACTTCTGGGGTTGCAACAGTGACAGGCCTTCCAGGATGGGAGTCATTCCTAAGGCTTTCTGCCACCCACCTTTTCACTGTAGCTACCATATCAGTATGGATATCCTTAGGTGCTAGACCTTTCTTATGCAAATATTGAATCACTGCTTTCGGCAATTTTGTCCATTTTGCAAAAGTCACTTGCCTTGTTTACTTTAGAGTGCCACCTCTTCGACATGATTTTATCTAATGACATCAGTCGGTACACAGACATTAAAAGTCAGGGAATAGTAGCTAGGGTTGAAAAAGGACATCCCTGCTTAACTTCTACATGGCTCACAACTTATCAATCATTCCATGTACCATTCACCCTTCAGAGCCAGGAGGAAACACTAATATTTACTGACTGCCTCTGAAGGACCTCTTGTGGAATGTGTTGTTGAAGGTTATGCAGTGGTTTATTTGCTGCATAAGAGAGTGGGGTCCGGAACAATCACTTGTCAATCAAAGAGGTAGGTTGTGAAATGGATAACATGCAACTGAAGGAGGAGAATTGTAAAATTGGTTTATTGCCTCTCAAGGTGGTTGGTTTTGGGATGGTTTACAAGTCAGGAGGTAAAGTGTATATTGAATGGGTTAATGCTCCTCCAAGACTGTATGTGAAACTGGGTTACTTGACCTGCAGAAAATGAGGTCCTGAGGCATAACTTGCCCTGTGAGAGGTCTGTACTAGGTTTGGACTAAGTAACTTTACTCTAGGGAAGTAGAGGTTTATATTAGATTACTTTACAGATGTGTAGTAGGATCTTGATGACCTGCAATCCAAGAGTTTGCATTTTAACCAACTCTTCTTAGAGTTTTACCTGCCCTCCAGCAGATGTGATATAATGTTTCTGAGTTTTACCTGCCCTCCAGCAGATGTGGTATAGTCTGGGCCTGTATTTCTGTCATATGTGTAAAACCCATATCTTGTATTCCTTTCATGGTCTGTTCTGATACCTTGCCTTCTAAAGATGTGAATGAAGTGTCTGACAGGATACCAGCTCCCAAATCTGACCCAGGCACTGGAATACACAGTAAGACATTATCACTTTAATGAATCACTAACTTGTTCTAACATTATCATATACATGTATATTGCATTGTAGATGTTGATGTATGCCTGAGCAGGTGTAATTATGCATCACAATTTCTCACTAAAACATATTATCTGGCATTAGGCCAATGCCTGGTAACAAGCTCCATCTATGGCTGTTCAGTTCAATTACAAACAAATGCAAACTAACTGCCCTGTAATAAGCCCATCAATAGTCTATGAGTCTGATTTTAAAGATAAAATTTAGCATTAGGCAATAGATCATTGATCAGTACATGATTGTTCAACTTACATTTGGATTCAACATTGTTAGCATCCTCAGTTGTCTCATCCTTTTCACTAGAATCATCTACAAACCCTTCACTGTCATCTTCATCATTTTGTGAAACATCTTCGTCCTCACCACTTGAGCTATTTTCTTCACTATGACGTTCTATATATTCCTGTTTTACTTTCTTGGTCGGAACCTCTGTTGTTTCTTCTAGTTTCCGTTTCTTTTTCTTCTTTTTCTGTGATATTTCATCTGCTGTCTCTGAGTGTGTTTCTCCACTTTCTGCTGCTGAAAAAAATTGAGTTAACAAGTATATTATACCTGTGAAAAAAGTAACCTGATATTGTTTTCAGAACAGATCATGTGGGTGTGAAATCAGAAAATTTGTCCTTGTAATATTTCGAAACATTTTCTTCAGGTTGGTCAATAGAACAGAAGATCTCATTGTTGTGTTACAAGAACTTCTATTCTATTGTCGTCATAATGTATCAATCAAAATCAGAAATTTTATAATTTGATTACTGAGTGAACTATCTGTGTGATAATACAGATATCTAGGCATCACTTACTTCCATTTATTACTTTCATTTTCTTCTTCTTCTTTTTCAATTTTTGTTGAACATGAGTTATGCCTTTCAGTGATTCTATGTTTTCTGTGTCATTAGAATCCTCAAAATCATCTGTCACTGTAAAGACATTTAAACATGTAAACAAGACATTAAGTTATTTTTAAGTAAATTCTAACATTAACTCTCACATTAATCATACAATTACTTTAGGTATTGATCATATGTACAAAATTTCATGAATATTGATAGAGAAAAGGCTTGTTATATTGATAGCTAGTACATAAGATTATAGAGGGTCTGTTACTGTTGAACAGTGAACTAACTGAATAGCTTTACTACAGATGGAAATGAAGAAAGACCCATAAATGATATAACATTACTAGCAGGTTATTAAAAAAACATGGATCTATTACTGATTACCTTTTAGTGTTTTTGATTTTTTAGCTTTCATCTTCTGTTTCTTCTTAAGATTGTTCAACTTCTTCATTTCTGTAAAATAACAGACAAAACTTTACATGCAAATCCTTCGTTTGAAACCTTAATCAAGGTGCCTCGTGAATGGTGTCAGTATTTGCTATAAACACTTACATGTTACGTATACTACCATATATGCTGTGAAGCTATTACGGAATAATGGAAACAGCCATTCCAGGTATGTGTAACTATTACAGTTTATTAGCACACATAATTGTGATACTAGTATTTGTATTTGATACATGTATCATGTGACTACAACGTATGAGCATGTTTTAGTTTGTCCAAATATCAAATCCAAAGATTTACCACGACCCAAAGCTAAATGCATTATCCCTGTAGACTGATACATACATGTTTCTATACAGTAGAATGTAGCCAGCAGTGACATGATGTATGTATATGTACAGAAACAATGAATTAATATTTTCAAACAATAAATCCATCTACATGCCAAATCACTATATAAACCATCATTACCAACATCTGACTGTGAGTGTAAAGTATAACAGGAAGGAGTAATGAAAGTCATCTTGGCCGAAATGGGGTTTAGACATGCCACCTTTCAGTCTTTCAATGGCCACTCTACCATTTGACTTGAGGGAAATTCCCACCAGCTAAGGCTAATCAATGAATAATGTGACCTGTACTCTGAACTTCTATGTAATCTAACCGACTTTGCAGATCTGATTGTTGGTTTTTGCGTGATTGGAGAGAGAGGGCAATGCCTTTAGAGAAAGATGTGGGGTGGGGGGGGGGGGGGGGGGGGGGGGGTGTACGGCTAATTATCAACCGCTCAACCACTTCATACATAAATAATGTAAAAGGAAATGTAAAATGCGTTATGTTGTTTGTCTGCGTAAGTACTCTTCCTATTTCATATACTTTGTCAATTTTGTAATTCACAATATGGACAAATATATTGGGAAATGAAAGCATCCTGCCATTAATATTAGTCTCACAAAGTTAGCATCACTAAGTCACCAGCTGATCAACTGTAAACAGTCTTGTAAATATGATAGTATGGCTGCGATCGTGTATGGAAACTTTCTTAATTTCAGCATGTCATATGCAGTATTATTTATTCCAGACCTGACAGATATTACAGTCACAATGTAAAACAAATGTAAATAAAACGGCATGTTACACCACGTGCTTAAGACTTTTTAACTCACCGGAAGCCATGTTGGATTTTTGAATACCAAAAAGCAAGCAATTGTCGTTACATAGTTGCGGATGGTAATTTACAATTCAAAGGTATTTCTTTACACTAATTGAACACATACAATAGTAAAATATTAGTCTTTATTATAAGAGACATTAAAAAGTATTTGTATAGGAGAGGTTGGAATTACGACTCTAACAGCGTTCCGATGACGCTTGACTTTTGGTAGATGTGTTATACCACGTACGCAACAAACATTTCAAGGATCGTTTACATTCCATAAAACATGGCTGAAGCAGGTACGTTTCTAATGACGCGTCTACGCAGCTTGTTATTTTGTAGTGAAATAGCAGGATAGTTTGATGAAACAAATGATTTATTAGCAGATATACGCGTAAGAATAAAAAGCCAAAGTGTGAAGAAGTTTCCATTGCATATAAAATCGTTTAATTTCTAAACTGTTGCATCAACATATCTGAATCATTCGCATGTATTCGGTCATGTGTATGCATGTCGTTATATTAGGATACAATAGTATATGGTTTATGAATACAATGTCTCTATAGACATATCGTTACTAGAATAATGTGTATTTTAAAATTTACAAAATGTATTAAGTTCTATTTCGAAGACCTCTTTGTAACTGGCTAAACAAATATATGCCAAACAATCAAAATACTGGAAGATACCAGTAAACTCAAGCCCGGTCTTACATCTGCAGGTAAATGGGAAGGGAACTGGTTGATGCGTTTTCACCCAGATAAATGTATTGTCCTGATAGTTCTAAACCGACGGCAAAGCAGATTTGCATCGAAGTCTCAGCTTCACATGGACATACCCTTAAATTGCAGACTTGGAAAAAAATACCAAGGCATCACTATATACAATCCAACCTTAAACGGGACAAACAGATTCATACCATAACTGAAATTTAAAAAAAATTCTACATGGAAATTAAATCTACTAGGAAATTTAATCTACTAAAGCCAATCAATCTTTAGACTTAATATGGCGAAGTCTAAAGACCAATTCTCTGTGAGGGAAAAAAATGACTTCATACTCTCTGTTAGTCCGAAACTCGAATATTGTCATTCCAAACATTCAAAATTTCTAAATGTAAAGGTGTATTTCCTCACCTCAAATATGGATGCTGCTTGCTTATTTTAAGGAATTGCCTCTTTATGGGTTAGGCATCAGTATTTTAGTTGTCACCTGGATTATCATGAGAACTGATGACACAAACAATTATTTTTGTTTGTGTGTGTGTTTTTTTTTGTTTTTTTGTTTTGTTTTGTTGGTAATGATTCATCATAAAAAAGTGCTGTGAAAAGACAATTAAAATTTTGCTTTTTAAAAATTTTAGATGATGTTCCTCCACTGGAGGATATGTCGGAAATGTTACACCAAGTTGAGCAACTAAGGGAACAAAGAGAAAAGAAAAAAAAGAACCCTCAGCACAATGGAACATCACACACACAGGTTTTTATTTCACTTGCTTATTTTGACTAGCCCTCTCCTGGTATTTTCATTTATTACAAAATAGTATTTTTTTGGGCGACACCACTCGCCACTCTTTTAGGTGTGAAACTCTTTACAGTAAGACTAATTAATCAGTTTGAATGTGCTTGTAATCACTGTTTAGCCATGACTACACAAGTTTTCCGTGTAATTCTCAATCAGTAATATTAGCCAACCATTTTTACCAAACTTCACAAATGTGCAATCCTTTCAAATAGTTGTGAGCATGATACAATACAGTGTGTGCATGATGTATGCACTATGTGCATTCAAAGGTTTTGGTGTATTGTGCATTACCACAACTACATTAGTAAAAACACCTGTTTTATTTTGACAGAATGGATCAAATGTAAACATAACAGAAGTAAAACAACACAGCAACAAAACCACAGCTGTTTCTGAACAGAAAGACAAAGCTGCAGCGAAATCAGGGGGAGAAAATAAAGGGGGATTTGGTGGAATGAGAAAAGGCTTTCTTTTTGGTGGAACTTCATCTAAGTCAACGCCAAAAAAAAGTACAGCAGTTAACAAAAAGGAAACAAAAACAGACTCGGATGATTTAACATTTATAAAAAAGGATGAGAAGGAATCATCAGCACAGTTTCAGTTTCCAGAAGTAGAGAAGGCAATGAGTCAAACATCTAGTCTTCTAGACAATAAAGGTAATATATGTAAGTGATGTCATATTCAATATAACACAAAGCTTGAAAATATATTCTGATGAAATGTTGGTAATAGACATTTTATGGTTTGAAATAGAGTTAAAAACTTAATTATTCTTGATCAAGATTTATTTCCATTAAGGATTTCACTTAAGTCATTAATATGTTTCATTATACAGGTGAAATATAATAAAAAAATGAAATTTCCAAACTATTTAATTAGTTTTGTAAACTCTTGACACATTTTTTCTAAAAAACATAAAAATGGGTGATTTACTGTGATATTGTCCTCTACAGAGAGGGTGACAGTGGTATCAGTCTGATGTTGTGTTCTATAAAGTTGGTAAGCTGGTATACTTAATTTATGTCCTATGATTTGTATCCTGATCTACAGAGTGGGTAACTGACGAACTATTGGAGAACGTCCAGAAGAATGAACGCCTTACACGAAGCCTCCAGGACCCAGCATTTGCTCGTGCTTTGGCAGAATTCCAGACCAACCCTCAAGCTGCTGCTATAAAATATCAGAACAATCCAGAATTCCAGGAAACTTTTAAAGACTTTTGTGGATTAATGGGTGTGTATTTGTTTCAATCTTATTTTTGTTTATTGAAGTAATTTGAAATATTGAATAATCATGAACAGTATTTGTACACTATTTGTGAAGGGCAGATATTATCTGTTTAGGGCAGGCAGGTGTGGGTAGGGCAGACAGGGTGTATGTAGGGCAGGCAGGTGTGTGTAGAACAGGCAGGGTGTGGGTAGGGCAGACAGGGTGTATGTAGGGCGGGCAGGTGTATGTAGGGCGGGCAGGGTGTGGATAGGGCAGGCAGGGTGTGGATAGGGCAGACAGGGTGTATGTAGGGCGGGCAGGTGTGTGTAGAACAGGCAGGGTGTGGGTAGGGCAGACAGGGTGTGTGTAGAACAGGCATGGTGTGGGTAGGGCAGACAGGGTGTGTGTAGAACAGGCAAGGTGTGGGTAGGACAGGCAGGGTGTATGTAGGACAGACAGGCTGTGCATATGACAGGCAGGGTGTGTGTAGGACAGACAGGGTATATGTAGGACAGACAGGATATGTGTAGAAGAGGAAATGTATGTAGGGCAGATATGATATATGAAGAACAGACAGGGTGTCATTTTATCAGATTTACGCAATAACCAAAACTTCAATAATGTATGTAAGAAGAGAAATAAAATGATCAATATACTGATATATCATTTAGGAACAAGCTTCACTGTTGTTAAAATCACAGATGTAACAGATTTGAGATATTAAATTGGTATAAAAGTATCCATGAAAATTTACATCTTCTATAAAATTATTGCAGGTAACCATTTTAGCAAAATGGGAGAAAATTCACCCACTGTACCAAACCCGCCACCTAAGGTCCAGGAGATTCACACTAAAACTCCTGGAGGTGGAGCTGACCTGTCAGTTAGAAGTTCTACTAACCCAAATCAACCAACAGCTGCTGATGAGAAAAAAATGCAAGAGATATTATCCAATCCTGAAACACGTGAGATCCTGATGGATCCATGGATACAGAAGTTGTTTGAGAAAATGAGGTTTGATCCTGTCAGTGGACAAAGGTATTAACTTAATTGTCTTTACTTTGTTTATAACCAGTCTCATATGAAAAATGGAAATGGTGCCCTAACACTACCTCTCAGATTAAATTTTAAAGAAAATAAGCTAATGATAAAAAATTACAAAGGGCTCAATGCTTTTATGGCAAGTGATTAAGTAAGGGATTATTGATTGGTACTAGATAACTTTGTATGTGTAAGCAAACATGTTCCAAAGCAAAAGTCATATGTGTTCTATGATTGACTGAAAGAAAGGAATGTAGTGGAAATTTTTTCCATGACTTACTGGAAGATACTCCTCATGAATGTAGCGGACACTGTTCCTATGACTTACTGGAAGATACTCCTAATGAATGTAGCAGAAACTTTTCCCATGACTTACTGGAAGATACTCCTCATGAATGTAGCGGACACTGTTCCTATGACTTACTGGAAGATACTCCTAATGAATGTAGCAGAAACTTTTCCCATGACTTACTGGAAGATACTCCTAATGAATGTAGTGTAAACATTTCCCATGACTTACTGGAAGATACTCCTAATGAATGTAGTGTAAACATTTCCTATGACTTACTGGAAGATACTCCTAATGAATGTAGCAGAAACTTTTTCCATGACAGTTACTTCAATCATTGAACTTTTGACCACTAACACATTACTTATCAAGTGTTACTCTTATTGTGTGATGGTGTTTTATTCATCCAAGTAAACAGAAGCTATAATGTAGAGACTGGTTTTCTATTTGTCACAGAATACATATGAACATTGATAGGAACATGTTTCACCACATACGTTGTCTTTGTAGTACTGTTTGTAGGAGATATCTAGGTAACACGTGTGTATAATGACTTTTTAGGTTATATAGGTCTGATATACTGTAACTGATCTTTATGTCATACAATATCTAGACTTTGTGAACTTTTTTATATCAGTGTAACAGTCAGTCCGCTTGCCATCAGAAAGTGCTTTCATGGACAATATTGACCAGCATTCTTCTTACATGTTAGCGATTGGCTCATTTAATCAGCTTAGTGAAAATTATCATATAATATATGACTTTATCTTCTCCAACTAGTGGAGTATTGTGGAGTTTGATAACCGATTATACTCCTTTTTGATCTATTCGGTTAAATAAACTTTTTCGTATTCAATTTATGTTCTTTTCTATCTGTTTATTTAACTACTTTTGATTTGTTTAATGGAGTGAATTATTTTTACATCTGATTAATTCCCTTTCCAATCTATTTAATGGAGTAAACTAATTGAGAGCTGATTCATTTTCTTTTTGATCAAGAAAAGAAATAGAAATTTCTATCCAGTGGGATGACACACTACCTAATTTCTTCTTGCAGGAAAGAATGACTTTCTGATTTTTTTCTTCAGGAAAACATTTAATTAATGGGAAAATCTGAGACATTATTTGGGAAATGGGACCTGTGAATTGTTAACAGAATGTAGCTATTTTTAAAATGAGTACAAATATAAATGATTTTTCTACAGGTTTCTTCAAGAGGCTGACAGAGACAAACAGGAAAAGATTCAGAAGCTTGTTAATGCAGGATTACTGCAGTTCCAAAGGTGATAGTATAGGATGGTTACTTTCAAGTGCAATCTCCAACACCTATTGACTGGCTCCAGGTTCACTCACTTTAAGAGGTCTGTGCCATCACTGTCCGAACATCATTGTATTGGCCGCAGCAGATGAAACATTCCACACTGAGGAAGTGTAACTGACATATTTGTTTATCAATATGCAGTTGGATATCTGTAGGTACTAACTCACTATAAAAGGCCAATTTATACAGCATTTCTATTCCATATTAATGTTATGACTGTGACTGGTTTTGCCAGTTCCGCCTTGCCAGTTTTCTAGCCCCTAAGAACAATTTAATCATATGATCAGGGTACCAGTTTGAAGGTATTTTAGGGGCTAGAAAACATTGTAAATTTGCTAACACGAACTGTAACTGTGGAAACCAGATGTCAAGAAATAAACATATAAAACCATGTAGATCAAATCACATGGCATGATAAGAGTGGTGACATTACAGTATGGTAAGGTCAATGTACATCAGTGAGAGTATGATTACGTCAGCTGATATAATATATCTAAACCAATGGAAAACATTGTTACATCAGCTGACAGAATAATTAAGATGTATGCCAACCAACACGAAAAGTTTATTTTTGCCCATCCTTGGCTTGTAGTAAACCATGCAAGTGATAAAGTGTTATACCTAATCCAACTCATTGCTGCAAAGCTCAATATGTGTATTTAAGAAAAACTAATATCAATACAACATATGGCGGAAACTGACACACTTTTCTTGTCACAGAAATGTATAATGTATCGAATGAAGGTGAGTGGCACAAAGCCAGTCCCTACCAAGTTTACAATCATATATCATATTAATGTAGACCTGATCCCATTGCTCAAAACAAAATGGTGCCTGATGATGTTTTATGTGCGATATTGGGTACAGGGATGTTTATATTTAGGTCAGTGATCAACCATGTAACATTACATCATGATCCATAACTGGCGAATCTGTTCGGTAAATAATAAAAAGTATTCTACCTACTTAACCTTGTGAAGCTGGTCGATGTTGAGTACACTTCTACCCACCATGTTTTAGTTATCACATGATAGGTTAACATACATTACCCTCCTGAACCATTTGGTCCATGGGTTTCTGGTTGAAAATGAATAAATATATTTTGATTACACTGTTATGATGTTTTACTTTTAAAAATGCAATAAACATACTCCTGTATATAAGGAATCTTAAATGAGTCATCATTTCATGTAAGATCATATGAAACAAGTCTTCAGAGTTTCTATATTTGCAAACCTAGGTGAGTTTCATGACATTTCATACAAACTGAAAAGAAAAATTTTATCACATTACTCAGAGAAGACACCTTTTTGATAGATTTTAAATTGAAAGTATGGGGGATAAAATTTAAGGCAGCAGTCATTTTGTTGCCATTTTCAATTCAAAACATATCGTGGTTGTCCATATTATGACATCATAGTCAATTTCTATCTTGTGCAGCCACCGAGAAACACTTCAAGGTGTTTTACATAGTAATATATGTAATAAAAACTATTACTAAGGTGAATACACTGAATTACATGTGGAATATGTGATAAATGCATGTATGGTGTGATATAAAGAGGAATGAACATTGTTGTAAAACTGAAATGATCCAAGGAAATACTTATTTCTTTGTACATTCATATTTTCTATAGTGAGTGGTGAAGTAAGCATGTTGTAATGGATTGGCTACTCTGGTTGATCTAGGAATTACCTAGCCTCCTTCAGGATTCAGTCTACACTTACTTAATGTCAAGGCTGTCATTGTTAGTCTTATAAACTTGAGATGAAATCTGATTGGTAAAGGTTGGAATTTAAACATTTTCTTTTCCTTCAAATGATAAGAAGTTGACAAAATAATGAATATTTTACCTTGATGGACAGAAATGAATCTAGTTCATTCTGGACAGAATGTTCCTTCGAATTACAATGAACAAACATCCTTTTCTTTATCTTTTTAAAATCTCTAGTTATATATTTCACTTTGAAATAAACAAAAGTTTAAAATGTTGAAAAGTATAGAAATAGGAAAAAGACCATAAAAACAAAAACAGAAACCCAACAAATGTTGACACATAAAGAACCTTTATTAGATGGTGAAGGAAATTCAACAATAAAGTCACTTCAGTGATGTACAATAGAGTATTGCTAAAATTTTCACATAAACTTTAACCAATGAAAAAATAAATTAAACCTACATTTGTTATCATTTTTGTACTCAAATGGATGTCTGGGCTTCCATAGAAAATTAGTTTTTAAAATTGAACCATATTAAGGTTTTTCCTGAATAAGTGAAAGCGAAATTGCTAATTATCACCACATCAATCATTGATGGCATATCCTATACAGAATATGGTGGCTTTCTGTGTAACATATCCTTCGTGTACGTCTATATACAGCTGTCATTGACACCTAGCACCACACCTGTGGGGTTGTTGTGATAAGTAATAATACTTTCCTGTATTTACCTGTATTGTATTTCATCTTCTGTATTACCAGGATCGTCACAATGACATTGCTGAGACATACTTACTTCATTTTATGTTAGGGAGAGTTTGTGCCACTTAGCGTCGATTGTAACGAAGTTGTCCATGTACTTAATTCATAACGAATTGGGCAACATAATTCCATTATTTGCTCGTGTGAATTGAGATAATGGTTGTGATCCACTTTAAGAAGCAACAAAGTAAACACCTATGTGTCAGCAGAATCTAATAATTCAAAATAAGGGCAAATATTAACAAAAATCGATTGACATGGGACCGTTGAAAATGTACATAGAAAGTAAGACCATGAGCACCTGGTAAACAAAGGTAATTTTTAAGATTTATCAAAAAATGAATAAAAAAATGAATTCCGTAGCTACCTGGTCATGGCGAAATTATTTCAAGTTTATCCGAGTAATTTACATCTATCTTTCGCCACAGGGTTACGTATGTGAAAAACCACAAGATTCTTTCTCCAAGGATGTTTCATGAGCGTGTGTAGTTATACGATCTCATGATGGATGGTAAATAGTGGGCGTCACTGTGATCTAGATCATAATTAATATTGCAATGCAAACTGTTATAACTTTAAATTGAGAAGTGAGTTATTATGGACAATTCTGTAATTCTGATGTTGAAAAGATGTGTCGACAGATTAAAAAAAATGATTATATTGTCAAGGACATACCAGCTGACTCCACAACACTCAGTCGTGCATGCAATCTTATTTGGACGAACGCTTTTGACTTACGAGGACGATGTGCAAAAGGAAACTAGTGTTTGTATAATTAAGGTTTCAAACTGTCCGACATGATCAAATGTCACCAACAGAAACGAAGTCAGAATACCCTCCATTCGTGCATAGGTCTGGTATTGGTCACGATTCTAGGTAACATTACACAAGATTTCAATTTATTGGCGTGTGTGATAAGGAAAGTAAGTGGACGTGACCGGATAAAACGGAACTGACTTGTCCAATGTATTTTAGGAACATCATCATTCTCACTTCTCTCGCCCGTCACTTTATCCTTTGTAAGTCTGAGGGATCGAGACGACAGCATCATCCGCCCAGGTAAAATGACACGTGATCATTGCTGATTCTTTCTCCTGGGAGTAGAGTACCAATCAGCTTGGTCACCACCTAGACAGCTACTGATGCTGGAATCAATACAGATTCTGTACAGGAGTACTGGGTTAGTAATCAGAAAGGATACCAACATTTTGCACTCTATAGGCTTTTCACCACCAGCCAACTGGAGGTAAAGGTATGTTTATACGCTCTGAACTTTTTATATTAACAACAGTTATAGTCGGGTTCCATGTCATTCTTAAATACATTTAACTGATTAACTTATTTTCATGTTTATATCTATATAGTGAAGAGAGTGATTTACTTGCTTTTATTCTACACGACAAAGATGGCTAAATACATATCTGGGGTAGGGATCACTTTCGTTATTACATGCAATTGGAATTTTAGTTATTATTTCTATTGTTGTTTAGCGACTTTTTCTGCTGTTAATCTCAGAAACTACGACGGGGATTCTCACACAATTGGTTGCGTACCTTTTGAAAATTATTTTTTCGTTCCAACTTCCCACAAATAATTTTTGTTTTGCCTGATTAAGAACAATAAAACACGACTGAAGGAGCTCTAGCAAGGAAGCGCTCATCTTAAAGTCAAGAGGGTAGACTTTTCACAAAAAATGCCCAAATCTTGTTTAGTATGTAGGTATACTGTAATTTTACAAACTTTTAAAAAAGGTCCTGATGGGTTGTAGGGGTTCGGATGACTTCCGCTACTGCTCGCAATTACAACTCCAGTTATGCTTTGTGTTTTTGATAGTTTGGAATTTCTCGAGCAAGAAGCACTTTTAATGATAACATCGCTGGCAAAAGTCAGTCGTGTCAGACACAGCCGTATCATGTAAATCTGCTCATTATTTTAATACTTGTTAAATGGTTTGAGCTCTCGTAATACGATATATCGGTCAGTAATAGGTTAACACCATTTTTTGTATACAAGCACCTGCTGGGTCGTAACTACGTCATACAGATTTGTTGTCGTGATGTCTGCATTGTCATAAACGCTACTGAACAAAAGTATCATACTGTGGTACATTATACTATTTGTTTCGGTCTGAAAGCAAGATTTCACACCAAAGCTGAGGACTAGACTATTAATTACCGGGAGGCGTACCAATTTGTTATCGTATAATGAACAGATAGTTAAGATAGAGACTAGAGGTATACTAACAAATGATACAAATCTGCTTTCTCGCCATTAATTCACCAAGCAAACCTTATTTACTGCTAGACGTCATACATATTTGCTTTTATATTGGCGCGAGCAAGTGGAATATTAATGTCATAGATAAAACAGACAGGACATTTTTCTTGATGGTAGAGAAGAGATATTGTGACTTATATGTTTTTATGACTTTTCTATTGACTGATAAGATGACCGACAATAAGGTTGATACAGAAATTGAGACTGAAATGTCTGTACTCTGATGTTGTATTTGTAAATACCTAATAAATGTTAAGTCTCTGGTCTATATCCCGAAATGTCTGTACTCTGATGTTGTATCTCTGGTCTATATCCCGAAATGTCTGTACTCTGATGTTTTATTTGTACATACCTAGTGAATGTTAGGTCTCTGGTCTATATCCCGAAATGTCTGTACTCTGATGTTTTATTTGTACATACCTAGTGAATGTTAAGTCTCTGGTCTATATCCCGAAATGTCTGTACTCTGATGTTGTATCTCTGGTCTATATCCCGAAATGTCTGTACTCTGATGTTGTATCTCTGGTCTATATCCCGAAATGTCTGTACTCTGATGTTGTATCTCTGGTCTATATCCCGAAATGTCTGTACTCTGATGTTGTATCTCTGGTCTATATCCCGAAATGTCTGTACTCTGATGTTGTATCTCTGGTCTATATCCCGAAATGTCTGTACTCTGGTGTTTTATTTGTACATACCTAGTGAATGTTAAGTCTCTGGTCTATATCCCGAAATGTCTGTACTCTGATGTTGTATCTCTGGTCTATATCCCGAAATGTCTGTACTCTGATGTTGTATCTCTGGTCTATATCCCGAAATGTCTGTACTCTGATGTTGTATATCTGGTCTATATCCCGAAATGTCTGTACTCTGATGTTGTATTTGTACATACCTAGTGAATGTTAAGTCTCGGGTCTATATCCCAGTATTGTCCCTATCGAATGAGACAGTTATGTTTGGGACATTACCTTTTCTTTCTAAAAGACTTTTTTATGTATGAAACTGTTTCTGTTTTGGACTTTTGGCACATGTGAGGAAAGCTTCGCGTTCTGTTCCAACGCCTTTGTCACTATTTACTGTTTAAAGCTTGGCAATGGTGAGGTGTAACGACCTGTTTGTTCGTCTTCCGTGTAATGTGACCGTGTGTTGGCATTACTTCCTCCACCACCACACCACCACATCACGGATTCTTCCATGACCCCTCCCACCCGACACCGGCACTCAACACATGTACTCACCTCACATACATAGACAGGCCGGCCTCAGATGACCAGGACTGTTGAAAAGATG